CTTGTAATCCTGGGGGTCTCGGGTTCGATTCTCGGCGGTGCCCGAATTTATAACTTGTGTTGGGCAAGGCCGTGGTCTAGGCAACACGGAGTTTTCCTCCGGGGGCTTCTTCCCCGGTTTCTCCGTGGCATCCCAACAATTACTCCATTCACACACAGAAGAAGGCAATGGCAAACCACTTCTGGATCATCTGCCAAGAACGTATATGAAAGGTCCCAGTCCGAGAAAAGGATCGAAGGATCCTGTTCATATGGACCTGTCATCAGACAGAACACTAAATAATAATAAAATTCAAATACGAAATTCTGTACTCCAAAGAAGGCGGGAATTTCTTTATCAGTGGCTGGAAACCGTGTAATCGCTCCTTGATAACACATTCTCGAACTTTAAACTAAACTGATGGAAAATATTCTTTTCTGCGGAAGACTGTACACGACGAAGCCAGTTTTGGTCCTGCCAGATTGCAGGTATCGATTTCTCGACACTCGCTTGTCTCATTGAGGGTATTAGATAACTTCACGCTTCAGCTCCGTTAGTAGGAGGATGGGTGGGCTCCAGAACCCGTCTGAACAATGTGGCGAAGATAAAAATATTTCCTTGCCGTTAATAGAACCCCGATTATCCAGTCCTTAGCCTTACCTACCCGTACTTACGTAGCACAATTTATATAAACATTGTTCGACATGATGTAGATTTAAAAGAAACACAAGTACATGGCATGTAGTGCTATGCGATGATGTAACGTGATAAGTTTTAAGATTGAATTGCGTCAGTAATACAGCGACATCAGCACCAGTCATGTGTGCAGAATCACTATGAACACATTTGGAAAACGTAACGTATTCTCGTCTTATTTTATAAAATGACCGCTTGCACCGAAACTAAGAGACTTTGGATCTCGACAATACCAAAGAAATCGTGTGTTACACCCTCCGTCCCCTGGTGGCCGCGGCTCCCAATTGCACGAGACCTCGCATATAAGCCGCACTTAACAAAAATGCTTATTGTCTCTCTGGGAAACCTTAGCCTTGAAGAGTATGTATATGTATCGGATGTGATTACACATTGTCATTGTCTCTTTGTTGTTGTTGTCATTGTGTCATCACGAGACCGAATCTGAACAATTCATTCATATGGGAAGTTCCTCAGCCTTGAGTCTCCTTACAGCGGTTTGTCAGGTACTGATTACCGCCTAATGAGGGCACCTACCTATGTGTTTGAAGAATTGTTGCTAATTTCTACTTCGAGGACATTCCTTGCGTTTCAAGTTTCCTCTTTTATCGTTATCCTTGTTGTGATGTGTGCGTCACATTGTGCACGCATTTGCCTTCTTGTTAATACAGAGCAGTGCCAGTGTCTGGGACTTGCATATATTTACTGGATACGCGGTGATACTTAATTGTTGTCTTTATGGATTAGTTAACGTAACGTCTGCGCCGGCCTGAACCTTAATATAGTTTCACATTGGCCTTAGTCTCTACCATAATTGACTACAAATCGACTACGCATGCTGTCTACATGTCACATCTCTTCCTGTGTTTAATAATAGCTTCTGTAATTGAAATAATAGATTTATTTTGTGAAGATAACTGTCTTCTGGGATGTTGCATCCTGTAGTCTGGTAGACATTTGCTGACGTTTAAGAGATGCTTATTGCCTCCATTTTCAAGGTGTCTGTACTTACCCTTTGGTACGGTGATTTGCATCTCTTTCTTCAAAGATATATTATGCTTCTTGTAAAGTAAACCATCGCACTGCGAGTAATGTATCTTTCCTTGATATTAAATACTTGTCCTCTTCAGGCATTTGTGTGTCTGGATCGAGTCTGTCTGCACTCGGACAGTAGAGAACCCTCCTGGAACCGAATAATATTGGTTCGCAGGCCTGAGCTGAAATCATTAACCATTTACCAGAAGTCCTAATCACTGTTGCGTAGTTGAATAAAGCATTTTACTCATTGTGAATGAACAAACTGCATGCAATTCTCAGTAAGTTTCTTGCCGGGTCTCGCTTAAACATTCGCTAATCATTATTATGTAGAGAATCGAATGTTCGTGTAGTACGAACTTGATAGCACGTGTTGTGCGTCTTTACGTCTATGACAGTATTGCGTACTCTTTGATAAGATGCTTTGCGTGTCGTTGTCAAACATCCTCTGGTACCCACAGCTTATTCAAAATATAATTGTGCCTTGAGGCAAGACAACAGTACGACCTTGTCTTGAGCCTGTTCCGTTGTATCAGAATTTCTTTTCGTTTCTTTTGCTAGTTTTTTTTTTTTATTTCGTCATTTATCATTTCATAAACCTGTATTCGTGGAACAGAACTCTAATGACAAAGATGTATAAAATTGGTCGCTTGAATTCTTAAGTCAGACTCTAATAAGCTCTAAGTCTCACAGTATGAGCGCACACTCCCGTGTGTACAAGCTCATAAACAATCTAAAATCATAACAAAGTATTTTTATGATTGTAATGTTTTCGTAACTTGCTCTTAAAATAATGAAATTGTTTTTGTTTTTTAAAAATAATCGAGGGGTTTTCATGAAATTCGGTATTAACATATAACAAGAAACACACGAAAGTACTTTTACTGTCCGAAAGGATTTGAACATATTATGAAAATACTACATTTCGTATTAATGTGTGGGATGGTAAGTACATAGACGGAAAATGCTTGAGAAGAAATGCTGAGGAGAAATGCTGAGGAGAATGTTTTAATCGAAACAGGACGAAGGGAATATTGTATTCGTTATTTATGACTTCAGATTTTTAGGTTGATTAAAGGAAACATGATAGGTAGGGCATGTATCCTGTATGAAACGAGGAAATAAATTAAAGTTTTAATTGGGAAATCTGAACGGATCAACCATTTGGTATACGTAGTTGCAGACGGGACGATAATATTTAAATAGTCTTAGACAAGAATAGTTTTGAAGTGTGAACTGGATTCAGATGGCTGACGATATGCTCTTTGTGCAGTTTTTTGTATGCATATGGTTGAACATATTCATGACAACTTGAGGTCAAGGTCATGTGAAGGTCACTACAATATTAATCAAGAGGTTATGTTGATTTCGAATAGGTTAGTTTAGGTGGTGATAGGTTTGGTTGGGTTACGTTGCGTTATGTTTGGTTAGGTTTGTTATGATGGGTTAGGACGAGGTTTTAGTTAGTTATGTGTTAATTTTGTGTAGTTTGTGCTAGTTCAGGTCAAGTCCATGACAAGATTTACGCTGATGTTAGCCGCAGGATGTGCGGAGTAAAGGCCGTTGAAATTTCAATGTCCTGTTGAGATCACGGATTCGTGAAGGTCGTGACAAGGTCGCGACAATACCGGCCCAAACGTTTGCGGAAAAATGGCCTCCAGATTTTCAGGGTAATTTTTTTGCCGAACTCTAATACTCTGCAATTAGATTCTGTTTTGCCCAGTTGATCTCATTTCATAATTTAGGTCTTATGTTTACAACCTGCATTCTTTGTATTATCTTCAGATTTACCCCTGTGTTTCCCAAATGATTATTTGCTTCTGATATTCCAAGCAAATGTTAAATTGTTGTTTTAATCCTACGTGATTTAATCATTCAGGGATTTTTACTTGAAATGTAATTTTCTCCTTGCTTTGTTGTTTCTAGGTTCAGATATGTTCCTCTGCAATCCATGATCTTTCTTCCCTTTGAACGACAGAGAGTGTCACAGTAGGCAAAATTGTAATTTTAGTTTTTTAGGTATGATACGAATATTGAATTACCCACTTAATGAAAACGTTGTTCAGATGCGCCTCCACCAAACGTGAGTAACAAAACAGAAGAAAGATTGCTCTCTGCGTTTAATGTATCCCCATTTTATTTTGTTCCAGTCAGGATGCAATAAACATGGCGTTAAAAGAGTACATCAAAACGTGATATTAATTTAAATGGCTACTTAATATTTTAAAATTATCCCGGGTGTATACTGAACCGGTAGTTGAGAACAGAACCGAGTTTCTGTCACTCTCACTCTCACTCTCTTTTTTCCACGTTCCCGCCCCCCTTGCCACTCGAAGCGAGGTTGAGTATGCACAACTGAAGTCGGCAGTCAGTCGTTCAGTAGGCCGGCTGCCGCCGTGGGCTTGTATATCGGGTTGGTCGTTGAGCTAGTATGAGCTAGCTAGTCCGGGGCCTTACTCTCACTTTCCGCAGTGTAGTGATAGTGCGCGTGGCAACTACTCGCGTGCTATCCCGTGTCTGTGTTCGGTGTGTTTGTACTACACAGTTGGCAGAAGTTCCTTATCAGCTTTTTCTCAGTATTTAGTTCAAGGTTAATTATATACATTACTACGTGATTGTATTTTTATATTTTATTTCTGACACTGACATAATAACTGACAGCCTTGAAGAAAAGAATGAACCCTCCTCATCGTAGTCGAATACTTTGTAAAACACAAGAGTGTTGTTCACATGATACGAGTGTAAATTTGGTACAGTATTAGGTGCCATGTGATCTGTCAAACGGGCTTGCACCATACGCAGGATAAAGCATCAGCATTGGAGCAACGCTTACTTGTATCATGAATGTGTCTTGAAGTGTTGTGTTCTTTTGAATTATTGCTGTTTCTGGCGTCATCTGAACTTTTATATCTGAAACAAGCAAAACGGCGACGATATTTATAAATTTCGTATCTATTCAAAGTGGTTAAAAGTACTCAGAAGAAGAAAACATTACGTTTGTGTCATTTATAGGAAGTATAAATTAGGCAGAAATAAGCAGAATTTTTATTAAAATTTTCTTGAAAATGTCCCTGTTATATGGTATTATTTAAATTGTATCTGTTCCTACGAAAGAGTCTCATCCGTTATTTGTGTCACCTGAAGACAGTTATTGAAAATCTTGTGGCTTGTGAAAGGATCTCGCACTAGTTCCGCGTATGACGAAGCTATTACTGAAAATTAACCTTACGATTTGTGTGTCCCATTTGTCCACGCCATCGTAATGGACTACCATCAACACACTGTGCCTGCAGGCCCACCCTTGGTGGCTGTACCCGCGCCCAGCCATCCCTTGACACATCACCAACTGCACCAGTTGCAGACCCTGGTACAGGCAGAAGACTCAACTTCCTCCCGATGGAGCCAGTACCAGCAGCTCTGGAGGCATCACCACATGCAACACATCAATGGTAGGCAGACACGTGTGTCCTTGTATCTTTATCTTCGAACTGACACTCTTGATCAGGGGTATCATCAATTTGGGGGTCATTGTAGATATTCCACACTCTCCTTGAACCCTGGTTACTGTATTAGTTGATATTGTGTAGTATTTGGCGCCTATAAATTATTGGAGCTGTTACATTTGCTACGTATCGGTGACGCAATGTTTCTCATCCCGTGTATCGTTGATTTGAATTCGGATACGTTTCTACTCATGATTTTAATTTATAGGAAAACATAGTTACTAGATGGTGAAAAATTCTCCGCTCTTTATTGAATCCAAATGTAATTACCATGTTCAAAAAGGCACTTCATTGGGTCTTACCACAACTAGTTCTGTCCTGTATACGTCTTGGTAGTCTGTGCTAATTTTTAATAGCATTTTTTAACTTTATAACTGCGTCTTGTCTCCTGAGTTGTCTCTTTCCTTAAAATGCGCATCCATAAGTTTTATCAGTAGTTCACAAGTTATTTGTCCGTTTTGTTTTTGCATCGGCTTTGGCGAAAAACCTGAAGAGATATTCCGCTGTTGTGGCATGGGCTCAGATGGGAAGATAATATTCAAATGGCTAGTAGACAGTAAATGCCCACCCGTTGTGTAATGTGTGATAACAGGGTTTGTATGGTGTGACTGAAGAAGACCTAGCATTTAGGATAGCCACTAGCGGGTACGAACCAACAGTGTTTTTTCTGAAGTTTCAGAGGTGCTTCATAATTGCACTGATGATGGAGGCAGCAGGCACGTCTAAGGTACGAAAGTGGGGTAGAGTGTAATGATATGTTGGTAATAACCCTTTCAAACACGAAGTTGGTCTAAATAATGTTTAGAAATTTAGTTCTGTCCAAAGGAAAACAACGCACCTACACAACGAAGATCGAGCGGTTAATGCTGTTTAGAAAATTATTCGGTGTTTATTCTGAAAAGCTTGCGAAGCCTAAAAATATATTCTGTGAGCAATAAGGCAGAGTATATCAAATCTAAAACTTCTTGACGATGGTGAAGAGTCAATTGAATAGAAATTTCCTTGGATATTATCCATCGTCTAGTAAATATAAAACGTAAAACGACGTTTCGGAGATAGGGATTAGCTCTATCTAGTGGGCCCAACTGTGTAGGAACCTGAAGACGGAGATAGAGTCCCATCTCCGAAACGTCGTTTTACGTTTTATATTTACTAGACGATGGATAATATCCAAGAGGTCCGGAGATAGGGATTAGCTCTATCTAGTGGGCCCAACTGTGTAGGAACCTGAAGACGGAGATAGAGTCCCATCTCCAGAAACGTCGTTTTTACGTTTTATATTTACTAGACGATGGATAATATCCAAGTAAATTTTTATTCAGTAAGGCAGAGTCATTAAGTGTTAGGTGGCGGTAGATATTTACCACTACGCTTCGAACTTGTTATCGCGTAATATGAAATTAGGCCCATCTTTACGTATAAAGTACAAAAAATAAGGCAAAAGTTAATTTATCATAGGAACTTGTGTTTGCACCTGTACTGTTACGTTTTTCAGTGATTACCTGTTGCTTTCTGGAGCTTTGTCATTCACCGCATTTTCAAGCTCTTTAAAAAAACTAGGCAGTAGTTGCTGATTATGTCTGAAACTGAACGTGTTTGTATATTATAATATTCAACGTGTTCGTACTTGGTGAAACTTTTGCCCCGGCTGTAGTGGACCTGAAATATTCCAATGATCATTGTTTGGAGAACTTTTTTTATCCCGTATTATGGACTGTATGTGTCTTGTTTCAAATAAAAGTTTAGTGGTGCAATTAGCTAGAGTAGACACATATTATAAACGTTCTTTACTGTATTGCGCATTAGCCTTGTTCATTTGTTGCGAATGCAAATGTTAATCGTGATGGCTAATCATACTTCGTACTTCACTGCATTGTGAGGGGATATTTGTACTTGTATTTCAGCAAAATCATTAAACTAATCATTCGAATGACAATTTCAGCCCTAAAGGTGGAAGCAGTATGTTTCTTCGAAACGTTGTCATCTACCGACGAGTCTACACGGCGACAAAATCCAGAAGATTTAACATCTTAACGGCGGTGAAAACCTCGAATATCATCACAAACAAAAAAAGACAGTTGTGTATTTTAATGAGATCTGTATTTTATTTGAGTTGCTGGGTTTTTGAACTTTGTCCGTCTTCCAGACACCCAGCAATCCAGATTATATTTTACTATCGTTAGAACCCTTTGTAGTAGATCTGTATATTATGTCATGTGCTGATCTTCTTGTGTGTAAAGGGCTGCTTTCTTAGAAAATAAGTTTGATCAGAGCTTCAGTACGGGGACGATTGATTCGTAAGTTGTTTGAGGACGTTGACATGGCTGCAGCGTCCAGAATTCTGCAGGAGAGAACTTTTCGAAAGCATTCACTTGATACCAGGGATAGGATGGGAGTGTTTGTATGGATCTTATAGGGCAGGTTGTGAGGACGAGGCTGGATGTAATTGGCTCACAAAAGAATCCGTTGTCGGGATGTAATATTAGCGATGTTGAACCATCGTGTGCTATTATTTATTATTATTATTATTATTGTTTAGTGTTCTGTCTGATGACAGGTCCATATGAACAGGATCCTTCCATCCTTTTCTCGGACTGGGACCTGTTCATATACGTTCTTGGCAGATGATCCAGAAGTGGTTTGCCATTGCCTTCTTCTGGGTGTGAATGGAGTAATTGTTGGGATGCCACGGAGGAAAACCCCGTGTTGCCTAGACCACGATCTTGCCCAACACAAGTTATAAATTCCGGCACCGCCGGGAATCGAACCCGAGACCCCAGGATTACAAGGCCAGCATTCTAACCGCTAGACCACCTCATCTTATTATTATTTAGTGTTCTGGCTGACGACCACGGCCTTGCCCAACACAAGTTATAAATTCGGGCACCTCGGGGAATTGAACGCGAGACCCCAGGATTACAAGGCCAGCGTTCTAACCGCTAGACCACCGTGGCGGTTCATCGTGTGCTACTTCTAGATAGTTAGACTAAATAATTATTGATTCTCTGAAGGTTTGTGACAGTAGTTGGTTTATTATTATGTTGAATATTGTGCGTTTTCTAGGTGCATGTATAATATAGGCCAATACCATGTTTCGCAGGTTCATTGTTCTCCCATCTTCAAGCGATTTTTTTTTATTTTACTGATTGATGTATTAGTGGCGACATGCCGCGAATATACGTATTTAGGTTCAAATTTTTTATAAACACCGTAATTAGAGTTTTAAAATAAATCAAAGAATTCCTGAGTCGCGTAAAGCCATAAATGCCTTGAATTCCATACGGCGGAATAAGCATGTAACAGATAATCTGAGAATTAAGGATGACTGTCTTGTGTGATGTTTCGCCGTGTAATCTGGTTGAAGTTTACCAACGTTTCAGAGGTGCTTGCTGCCACCATCATCAGGGCGATCATAGCGATCTTCCAATTCTTTTTTCATTGTCGTGCTGTCTTTTTAAGTTGCAACTGCTGTTGATGTAACATCGTTAAACAAGCCAAGAAACGCACATGGTACATGGCCCTGGGCAGTACGGTGCTGTATATTATGCGTTCAATGTCATTATAGTTACTGATCTTTATTTCAGACGTTCTTCAGTGTGTAACAAATAAAAAGAGCAAATATAAAACGGGGAAGTGTTCTTCAAATAAATATGAATAGTTCAGTCAGAAAGTAAGTGATGCTGGGCTGGTGGACCGGCGTTAGGATCACCGCATCCACGCATTTGGATTTCGCTTGCGATGCAAGAAGGACGCAAGGAACAACCAAAAAAATCGAGGAAGTTGCTTACCGTCGTACCAAAAACCGATTACACAACAAAATAAAATGTTTAACGACGAAGTGATGGTCAGAACTTGTATTAACATTGTTTTAATACTTCTGCTACGGCATGTCTTTATATTAAATATCGCAATAAGTTATTATAGAGGTTTCTGTCGTCGAAAAGGCCACATAAATATATTTCATGATGAATTTGGGCTCCTAAAATACATGTGACTAGGCAGGCTTTTGTCTGTTTTGTCAGTTTGTAGTATATTTGAAAAAATATCTTATTTCGTAATGATGAAGGTCTCACTTGTCTGCTGTGGAGACATTTCTATGTGGCAAAAAAAAAGGTGATAAGGCTGTGCAGAGTTAATCTCTCGGAGAGGATTTTAAGTTTACATTTCAGCAGCCAGAATTGCTTCAAGTGTCGCAGTACAGATAATAATTGCAGAATCGTACGTATGGTAGCGAGTGTCCCCTTCCACTCGCATGCCCCTCTTCCAGAGATAAAATGAGGTGTTCTGTTGAAGGCCACGTTATTCGTTGTGGGTCTGTAGACAGCTGAAATTCCGGTTTTAGCAGGACGTTTGTACAACAGCCGAAAGATGCAATGCATTGGAAAATCCTTCGTTCGTAATTGCGTTCTTCGAGAATTTTCAGACGTACATGACCTTAATACATATTATTTATTTGTCTGTTAATTTGGTTCTATTTAATCTCTCTCTGTCCGAGATTTGAGGTTTTCAAGGCAGTCAAGAAGTTATTTTTCGTATTTTCGGTTATGACGTTGAGAATTCTTTTACGTAGTCACTAACGTTTTCGAGGAAGAGACGCTCAATTCATCCCTGAAGATAGAGGCGATAAATTCCTCCGAAACGTTGGTAACAACTGACAAGACTACACAGTGTCATAACCGACTTGTCCCTTTCTCTCATTCTTCCTTCCTTTGCTGTTTCTTTTTCCTTCTTTTTTCCCCTCCTTTCTTGGCAGAAATGAGCGCTGAAATTTAGTACCGCGGAGAAACATACACGTTCATTAAATCTAAAACTTCTTGACGATGGTGAAGAGTCAATTGAATAAAAATTTCCTTGGATATTATCCATCGTCTAGTAAATATAAAACGTAAAACGACGTTTCGGAGATGGGAGCTGGTCCGCAGATAGGGATTAGCTCTATCTAGTGG